TGTGCTGAAACTTAAAACAGATAAAGTAGTCAATTAATGTATCAAATCGTCTGTCGATGACTTCCCTACAGTATTTCATCACCTTTCAGACAATCTGTTTCTGTATTGAACTTGACTTTGAAGTGCTATTGATTCTGTTATTGGTTTTATTATCAGTGCTGCTGATCTCACTAGAAAACGTGGATGTTTTTGTGTGTAACATAGCAAAGAAAGATAGAGAGACTCCCCCTCCCCCCTCCGACATTGTTAACAAGCTTAAATGTGATGTTCCATTTAAACATATCAAATTTTGTATTGAACGTAAATTAATATGCCACCGCTCAATTATCTGTTATACTGAATGTGATGGTGTAACAACAAGCTAATCAAGACATGTTAGCCAGGTATAATATAATCAACACAAGCTAATCAAGACGTGTTAGCTAGGTATGATATAATCAACACAAGCTAATCAAGACATGTTAGCCAGGTATAATATAACCAACAATAGTATAAACACTAACGATGATTACCTTACCTAATTTAGATATTAGTTAATGTGTCTTCTTCACTTTTTGATATAGATTATGAAGAACTTATTTGTCATAACCCGGCTTGTCATTTACTTTTTATCAAACAATTCTCCATCTTCATAACATATATCACTATATTAACACACTCATGACAGTTAATAATTTGCTATATAGACAATACAAATCTCCCTTCTTTTAAGATTTGGAAGAAAATATATTAACAGGTAAGCTGAAAATTTCAATCATGACATATTATGTAAACCTTAGAGTTTTGCTCGTTAGAGAACTTTTGTTACATTTAATTTTATGTTTACTATCCCTTATTTCTGTTCCTTTAATCATCTCTTGCATTGGAAATACTGTAATACTACAATTCATTCATTCACATTTACTATGATACTTTTATATAATCTATAATCATACTGAAATTATTTAGCACTTATTCTATTATGCACCAATCAAAAATGGCTAAACCTTTTCACCCTTTCAGGCTGTAACTCTTAGCAACTTGATGACGTCACAGTTATTCTTTATTGTTCTAGTCACATGACCTTTATTGTCATTGTATTATAGTTGCAAACATCAAGTAACTACATGTGCTCTGAAGACGGCCTCCCTTTGGCTGAAACTTGTCAGCACTTAGGATGTAAGTCAAACATTACATTTTGTAGCGGATTCAGTGGTGTTGTTGCTCATCATTTCTACTTTTATTTGCTCTGCTTTCCCTGATGAGCACTGTTGAATACCATTAAGGTATCCACCCCAGGATCCCTACCGCCACTATGGAACTGACTTCCTTGCAGGGACGTTGGGTCTCCACCCCCCNCCCCCCCCCCCCCCCCCCCCAGTTGTATATTATGTAAATGTTCTTTTTTCTCAAACTAGTCTCCAGAAAGCTGTGATGTCTAAACATTTCACATTGTTTGAACCCTGGTATGGTGGCAGACACATGATCTAGCCCCAGTGTAAGAAAACTTTTGGAAGAATTCTAAATATGGTTGTACAATGATTGTATAGATATACAATATTTTAAAAAGTTTTTTTATTAACATCAAGATGTTTGGTATTTTTCAGTTAGTTCCTCCTTTTCTTGTTACCTGTATAACTAAACTGAAATACCTAAATCAAATATGAAGAGTACAATTAGTTAGGTCATCTCGTTACATCTTGGCACACTGCAAATCACATCCCAATGGTCAATTTCTTTGCATGGTACAAGTCGAGTCTATGTATTTTCATAATGTTTATCTAAGATTTACCTGTGTATTTACAGGTACAGTCAATAAATGTATAAACACTGACAATACCCTGATCAAGAGGAAACAAGGTCAAGCCCATACGTAGGTATGGATAAAAGAAACATACCGTCAAGCACTGTACATATATAAGTTTACTGCAGTTAGCAATAAGTCATATCACCTTTCTCCATAAATGTTTGAATATCCTTGTGATATCTACCTCTGATTCCTGTACCAGACAGACCACAGACCATGGCCCGTAGGACGTCGGATCGCCTTTCCAGATAATTGTGTTGGTTTAATTACTAACAGTTTTATTCAACTTTTTCTCCATAAATGTTTTATACTGAAACTGTCTCAAAGAGACGGCGAGTCAGTATAACCTTAAAAGTACCAGACAGTGATCCCAGTACAGCTTTTTAGGGTTTTAAATAGAAATATTGTATCTTGGCAGTAAGCTAATCATTTCTAAAACTGAATTATTTACTTGTGGATAAGTTTACCGATGTTTGTACAACAGCTCCATTTTATTGAACTTCTTTACCTCATCAACAAATCAAGGTCAAATTGGAATCATGATTTTTTTAAAACTTTTTAAAACCAACCAAATATATGCTTATTTTCTGCAGACACTTAAAAAATCAATTAGACAGTTTGCATGAACTTGTCATTAAGATATTGAAGTCCAGACATAAAGGTATATGGATTACACCATACTGTACAGATACCAGTGACAGCTCTTAGCCCTTCAGGCAAGGAAACAAATATCAAAATATGAAGCACATAATGATACAATAATCATCAATCAAAACTGAAATCTTCCTTTCAAAACCACAGGCTGTATTCGAAGTAAAAGTGCATTTTTTATTCTTTTCCTATGTTGACTGGAACACAAACTAGTCCTGTCATAAATGACATCGGGGGAGAGTAAGAAATACAAATCAAACGATGTGTACTCACATTTATCCTTTCCCTTTTTATTGAGCACAAAACCGATAGAATCTCTAAACCTACTGTACATTTTTTATATCAAACTTAGATGTTGATATTCTTTTTATAAAGTATGGCTTTAGGCGTAGGAATAATAACGGTCTGCAAACTTTAATTTACTCAGACTCATCATGGACTGTGTGCTCAATCGTCATTGTCAACATCAATGACAATTATAATAATAATAATAATAATTGGAGGTTCTTATATACCGCTTTATCACATCCTAGTTCGTAGGTCGTCTCAAAGCGTTTCATAAATTATTATCCGTGGTTATAGGGCCTTTGCAACCAGCCAATACATTGCTCAGCTCCCTGGGGAGCATACAGCCGGAGCTGCCATTTCGGCGCTAACAGCTAGCATTCAACAATTCTAGCACTGCCCAACCACATACTCATTTATAGCTGAGTAGACTGGAACAAGCGGAGTAAAGTATCTTGCTCAAAGATACAACACATTGCCGTGCCGTGGCGCGAATCCGCAATCCTTTGGTCACGAGCCCGGCGTCCTACCACTGGACTACCGTGCCTCCAATACAAATATTTACAAGAATCATGAAATCTAAACTAAAACTTGAATAATCTGAAAACCTGTATATACAGATCAACAATGGCTGGTTTTACTGTGTACATTGCTGTTTAAATTGGACCAGCTGTCTGATATTACTCAGGTAATCATTCTACTTGTTGAGAAAGATTGGTCCTCCCAGTGTTTGTAAATGAAGTGTCAATAAATAAGCCTTCAAACGAACATTGACATCAATACTTTTGTTTGTATTTATATTGAATAAATTACACAATATTTTTAAAGCCACATTTCTGTAAATATCTCTTCATGTGTTTGACATTTTGAGAATGATTTTGATGAATAAATCTGAATTCAAAATACCTTGGACAATAAGTTTAAATTAGGAAAGTCTATCTCTGAAAATTATTAACAGACACTTTAAGAAGAAACCACTTGTAAAAATGAGACTGCTTGGAAAACAAGAGGCCCAAGGGCCTTAGCAGTCACCTGAGTTATGTTATAGGTACTGGTAGCTCAATTTCATTGTTGAGATGTACAAAATGTGGAAACAACATGTGAACAAATTGAAATACAATACTTGTCATGTCACCAAAGGATAAGAACTTTAAAAACTATTTAAATAAATTATTTTGCTATTGAGATATATCCCCTCTCCCCAAGGGAGAGCAGATGACCTGGGGGATAATGACATTTACAATTCAGGTAATGGTAATTTAGGTAAGGACCTTTCTATCCATGCATAGAATTTGATTGTAAAACATCTGAGTCTGAAGAAGAAGATTTTTGAAATATTGGTTAATTTTCCCTCTAAGGCACCGACCTGGCCCCTGGGGGTTGAGGCGAGAATCCCAATTTTACAATTTGATACCATCTTCCTCCAAGGATGATTCTCACCAAGTAAGATTATTTCCTACTGAAAATTGACAAAATATACCCAAAAGTGTTGAGCAAAGCTCAGGTGACCTAATAAACATCATAGGTCAGGTCAGCCCACCTGTGTAATATTTATTCCAGTCAAGCCAATTTTGCCAGTCTGACTTTCAGGTGCCTGTTTTGCACAAATGCTAACAGTAGGTTACCAACATGCATCTTATCTACAAACATGCTTCAGAAGTTGCTGCTCAAAGGGAGGCAACTCTTTACAGTGATCAAGAAAACATGTTCACCAGGCCATCTTCATGAGCATATAACGATGCTTGTGTTCTGGATTCATTAGACATTGCACTCTTATTGCTAAAGCCTACCTAGCTGTATAAATATATACCAGCATACTAGGAAGTAATACTGTGAAAGACTGGCCCCCTTCTGGGGAAATCATGTACTCACAGATGCTCAATGCCAATAGAAACTAGAATAACTAAATATAGTACTGGTATGGCATTTCATCCGAGATCGTACACTACACCCGCAATTTCAATGTTATGAAGGGACTGTCAGAGAAGAAGATTTTACTCTAGTTTACTGTAAATCAGTGCAGCTGTTTTGAAGGATATGTAGTCAATTTGGTTCTAACATAAGTCTCCCTTTGTTTTGTAGTTATTATTCATTATTATAAATGTACTTGACCAAAATAAAAAGAAGTACCAAACAATATAATCCACAATAAAATCACTAATCTGAAACATTCTGACAACATCCTTTTGAATCAGGACACTGAAACTTTACTACAAGAACGCCACCACATAATACACTGGTCAGTTTGTATTGAGGAACTAATTATACAAAGACTTACTATCAAAGACTACAAAGGGGTCAAGACATGGCCTGTTTAGCGTCGTCTGGCTTCGCTTTCATTTTTGGTTGGGGTATCTCCAACAGATCACAGAGCTGATTTCTAAATGGTCTCACTTCATTGATTTTGTCGTTGTCCCTGGAAATACAGAAGCATATTTGAATTAATAATCAACCAATACTCTTTCTTTCCAAAACAAATAGTGCTTCGTTTAAAAGACCATGACTGCCTATAATAGAACCATCAAGAACTATAGCGGAACCTGCATGTTTACACTGAACCTCACATTATCATAAAAACAGGCCTTTTATTAGACCCTCATACATAAATTTCCATATAAACTCCATTTGAATACTATTCTGAACTGACATATCTCTTTAAATTACAGAACAGTAATATTTTCTGTATTTTCTTGCAACATGCAAACAATTCCTTGAAATTGACAGTAAAGTTTAAATTTCATGACAAAATTGTGACGAGTGTTTTCCCCCTTTTTTTGGATGAACTGTTTTAGAAATTAATGGCTTAGGGTTACCAAACAGACACTTGGGGAACAAGATTAGTAGAGACTAGTTTCACAGGACTTCACTGTACAATGGTAGCTCACCATGTAGTCTCACTGATGATAACCATAGCCTCGTCAAGCCCCTCCTCTGGAGCTACGTCATCGTAAGTGACTAGCGCCTCATATAACTTGTTGGCTGTGGCTTTGCGGATCTGAAAATAAATAAATCAATATATTTAACTGATGATCCAAAACTAGAAACATTAATTTTCGATAACAAACTAACCACCTTCTAAATCATAATAATAATAATGACCTTTTTGTTATAATTACATCTGCAAGAATCTTATATTGTTTAAAGAGTTGTGAGATTATAGCATTTTATAAAGTGAAAACAGAAAAATATTCTGGAATAGACATCAGCTAGTAATACATACCCTTGGGTATTTGTGTCCCATCAATACCAGTAACTGAAACAGAGCTTTCCTTTTTACTTCGGCACAGAACTGTAACAGCTCACAAAACCTGCGAAACAGCCAAAACATAACAATTACCTCATGAACATCTTTAAATTGAATTCTCATTAGTCTTTAGATCTCTTTACAATAGTCTTGAACTGTTTGCTCTCAAACTTTGATGTCACAATGCACATACAACACACTTTTGTAGACACAGAAAAAAGAGCAGAATTTCTCCACTTCTCACATTTTCTTTCTTCAGAAGCATCTGAGCAAGCATGAGCTCTGAACAAACTAAGGACAGCAAGTTAAAAATAATGTATGAGAATATGACGAGGAAAAAAACGTTTACTTTCAAATTCATTCTGATAGCATTTAAAAAAATTCCCAGTATCAATAAACTTCTGAACAGTAAGAACATTTAAACTTTAATATTGTGAAATTTTACATTTGTCCTGATGAGTAAGATTTTCTACAATGAATCCACTACCTCAAGTCAAGAGGTGATTTCTTAAGGATGTACACCTCTGAGAAGTCAAAAATTTCCCTTATTAAACTTTTTTTCTTATATTGATTTTTGGAAAAAGGAGATAATGGCATAGAAGAAAATGCAAAAAGAAATATATGTCCGTGTGTTCGTTTTTGTGCTATGATCGGTCAAAGATACCAATTTAACACAATAGGTGATTTTAGGTAAATTTTCGGGTTTTGACCATTTGCAGAACAAATTCATACAATTTCTTCCAAGTGTGTTATCAGATATGTATGAATGTTTGTAGAATTGATAAAAATATTATTTTCTTTTAAATTATGGAAGTAAAATTTCTAAATCTTATTCATTTTACTCAGAAATGCGATTTTAGTTACCCCTACCCCTTATTTTTTAATGAAAAATGCACATTTTTTCACCATTTTTTGCAGATGTTTAATGTGCTTGATATAAAAAATTCCTGTATTAAACTTTTTTTGGTATTCAATAAATCAAAAGAAAATGTGTTTCTCTTTCTAAAACAGCCACAAAAATGGGGGGTCGGCGTGCTTCTTTTTTTGTCCCATTATTATTTGTGTTATTTTTCACCTTTTTCGGGGTCAAAAATCAAAAGTGCTTCAGTTACCCTAATATGTTAAAAAAAAATACCAATAATATATAACTTTCCACTTTTTTGCATATTATTTTAATCATATTAAACATTATAAAGTTGTACAGCAAAATTGAACCTGCTACATTTAAATGGTGACACAGTGACAATTTAAGTGATCAATCTAGTGTCAAAAAAGGTGAAATTTTGCCCTTTGTGAAGTGCAAGAAATTCACATAAATACACTTTTCAAAATGGCCACCAAATTGGTCATTTCTTTCAAATTCTTGTAAAAAATGTTCTACACACAACAGACATCTAGTTTTTTGACATGTTTTTCAGATGTGTGTTTGCTATTAAACTTTGCTATTAAACCTATCATAATTTGATAAATATTACAAAAACCTGTTACACCAGATCATAACGAGACTTGAACGTGACTGAAACCTCAGAATAGTACATCCTTAAAAGAATTTCATAAACATTTAGTATTTCAATAAGCAATTGAGGAAATATTGCCCTAAATTAAAATCTGATAATGAGAAATAAGACTACAAATGTATTAACATAATATCTACAAAATGGCATAGTACAGGTGGGAATTTTGAAACTTAGAAAGCAGCTCAAGGCATTAGGGGAAAATAGAACAGAGATTTCGGACTAAATGGGTGGTCTCGCTTAAATGAATAAGCATTTATTGATGTAAGGTAGTTGTTTGTCATAGCAGATCTTTTCTGTCAACACCCCAAAACTTAGCGACAATAAATGTTGTCAGAGAATTCCATGTTTTGGTATAGTAGTGTGCTCTGACCCCACACCAGTCATCTATCTCAAGTCTGATGTTGTGGGGAAACTCTGGCTAGAGCAAAGGGGATTCTAGACAATGATGTTATAAGGAAACACACAAAGCTTTACTCACACATCAGCACTGGCTATGAGCTTCTGAGGGTCCCCACTCCTAGATATTTCTTTTTTAGACAGCTCTAAAATCTTCTGGGCAAATTCCTGACTGGAAAGTAAGATAATCAAAACATGTCAAGATGATACACAATAACCTGGCTAAATCACTGGTCCACATTCAAAAGCGTATATTTTTCAGAAACATGAAAACCATACTTTTTCCTGCAGGTATCAAATTTTATTTTTCCAATTATGAGGATTACAAACATTTTCTTGGACATATCTTTTTTCCCGGAGGAATTCAGAATCTGTCAATCTGAACTATTTTATTTTAACATCTGTTGTACAAGGAAATAAACATACAAACAACTACCGATGTGTATTGCACTAAAAGCGATCTGTTATACCAGAAACTTACTTTTCATTCTCTGCAAACACGTTGAAACAGCCTTTGGATAACAGCTGATTCAACATCTTCAGCATGGGGAGGGACACCCTGAAAAACACCATAACCACATTCTGTATATATATGTGATAATAAGCAATTATATAAGGCTTGTTTCCCCAATTAAAGACAGGAATCATTGAGGCTTACACATAAATATTATAACCATAATGATAAAACAATGTGGTTCTATAAATTGGCATTTGGGAATACAATTCATTGTGTAAAATCTATACAGTACGTCTACATTAAATGATATGAACCTAGTCAGTAAAGCTAGAAGCATGTCTTCTACCACGGACTTGACAATATTACACATCACACTTCCTGTGTACAGTACGTACAATATTACTAGTCACTACCACTACCTGTGTACAGTACAATATTACACATCACACTTCCTGTGTACAGTACGTACAATATTGCTAGTCACTACCACTACCTGTGTACAGTACAATATTACACATCACTTCCTGTGATAGCAATAAATGTTTAAAATCCTTTTACTTCAACATGATGAGATGGGTTTTAACGAACTGTTGTGTATAGCATCCTTGGTCAAAGGGGACTCAGTATTTATAAACAGAGGGTGATTCCCCTTCTAGGGGTAGAAAGGTTTGTGGTATCATTTTAATACAATAAATACCAACAATTTTTCTGATGCAACATTGTATTAACAGTAATTCTGTTTTAGAAGTATCTCATTTATTAATGCTTGTATTACAGATACTGTGAAACTTGTCTAATCTTACCCCTTAGTATTTCATAATCCTATATGATCCGACGTATTGCTGTTATACAATTTCTTATGAAAACTTGCAAACGAGACCTGTGTATTCTGACATTCTGTTTAATATGATGACCTCATATATCATACCATTTTGAAAAATTCTTTAAATTCTTAACAACATGTCAACCAAAACATTTGATGTATTATATTTATTGGAAATAGATATTTACGCAATAAGTGATTGTAAAAACTTATAACATTTTTGTTACAATATGTCATGTAAAGATACCACATACAGTCATGAGGTTTAATCAATATAGGTAAGATAATCACTGATAGACAGGGAGTAGGAGTAATGGGGAGTGTTGCCTTGGATGAGAGATTGGATTTTCAGAATTCATCGATAGAGAGAAAGACAGAGATAGAGAATGTTTCTTTTGTTTATCTGACCTGTCAATCTTGATGTGACTTTCAAATATCTTCATGAGGACGTCAACGAATTGTGACATCTGTGCCGAGTCTTTATTGATGGTCCGCAGATACGCGTTTAAAGATCCACTGGAGTAGATCACCTGATAAGGACAAACAATACTATTGATATACTCAATGGTCACTTTCTCTATGGTTGCATGACGTTTCATCACTATAGTATCTACTTCACTTGGGTAGATAGTTTAAGTTAGACAACTAGGTGATTAGACTCTGGTATAGCCTAGGTCAAGGGTCCATCTGGGGTATCAAATGAAATTAGTTACAAAATAACATTTTTGTCTTACTTTTCCACTTGAGACTTTTCTACATTAATAGGAAATAAGACATTATTTAATCTGATGACATATAACGGCTACTTATTTCAACATAGACTAAATTGTCTAGAGTAATTTGTTTCGATTTCATATATTTTTTTAATCAGTTCATCAAAGCCAGCTGTACAATTGGTAAAGGAACCTAGAATATTTTTTTCAGAATTAGCATTGAAGCAGAAGATTGAAACAAAACAAATAAAGCTTTTGAAAGAAAACACTTGTTGGTCCAACATTGAAACTCAAGGCAGGCAAATATTGACAAAATCTGCACACACAACAGGCCGATATTGGTTACACACTGCACTCACCAGTGACTCTGTAAGACCCCCAACACTGACAGTGAGGCCTAACAGCACGCTGTACTGATAGGCTGGGCACTTAAGGAGCTTTGTGAAGAGAGGAAACGTGTCTGATGGAGCCGCCCAGTTGACCTTCTCTGCCTCCTCCCTGGAAACAAAATTCTTACTTCAGAAAACATAACACACTAACTAGTTGAATGATTAAATTGAGAGACTTTGAAAACAGCACTTTAAAGAGAAAAAGAAGATATTTTTTTCCCCCAAAGACTAAACAATGACATACATGTGTATCTTATAATTAGGCAAGAGAAGATTACTAGACTATTAAATGTCATACAGGTGTGTTTGAAAGGGGAATTTCACCACATGTAGTAAAGTTTGAAGCTCTGACGATGGTGTTACTAGTGGTTGCAGTTAAACACTGTCCATATACATACATGTATTATGATGTGATCACGTTATATCTGTGCTAGACATACCTTGGGAAAACCTCTTCTAATACTTGTCTGTGTGGAATGTGAGGAATCTCTGGTCTAAAAAGAAAGAACTTCACATGAGTTCTATCTTAAATCATACATGTCACAACTGTGATGTTAAATGCAATCAAATCATATGATATTTCAAAACATCAAATCACATTTTCATATTCAAAATCTTATTAATCAAGGGATAAATAAACTTAGTGTCAGGGAGGTATTAGTCATGGTATCTTTACATTTGACTGTTAATTTTAAGTCTTCTGTCAAGTTGTAAGCATGAGAGGTAACTACAATTCTGTCAAGTTGTAAGCATGAGAGGTAACTGCAATAATCTTGTGTGATTTTCAAAAATGGGGAAAGGGGAGCAGAACGACCTTTGTGTGTTCTTATTGAACTAAAGTATTTAAAAACAAAAAACTTCAAATGTCAGCAACAGCCCTATGGTGTTTTTGTTTTGTTTTTTTACAAGCAGACAACATGATCAGTATGCACAGTAGTCTAGTGGTAGGACGCCAGGCTCATATGACCGAAGGGTTGCGGGTTAGAGTCACGTCACCTTGTTGTGTCTTTGAACAAGATACGTGGTTGGGCAGTCCTGGAATAGTTGAATGCTAACTGTGAGCGCTGAAACGGCAGCACTGGCTGTATGCTCACAATAGAGTTGAGAAAGATATTGGCTGGTTGCAAAGGCCAAATAACCACAGACAATAATTTGTGAACCGCTTTGAGACGACCTACAGACTACGTTGTGATAAAGCAGTATATAAGAACCTCAAATTATTAATTTTATTATTATTATCATGATTATTAGAGATCATACAATCCCTTGATCATCATGAAGAGATTACCATTTGATTTGGATCACTGCTCATTGTACTATTTTGTACAGTATTTGTACTTACCTGTGATACAGAAGACACTTGAATATGTTGCCAGCGTGAGCTCTCGTCCGATCTATTTTTTCACAAGCCTGCTGTACCAGACAGCAAAATACATTCTTACTTCTGAAATATACACAAATAAACCCTGTGTTAAGAAATGTTTATATTAATGCCTACATGAGACACAACTTTTAGAAAGGTCAGCACTTACAATGAGGAATTGTCACTAATATTGTATAGTCAGTTTCATCAACATTTTAATATATAGTATTCGACTATGTTCTTTCATTTGTGAAACTCCCTTGAAAGGATCGATTAAATAAAACCCAATAATCTTGCTCCATAATGTACTGAGCTTGTCATGTGATAAAAATATTTTTAGCAAAAATTTTACCAAATTGAAAGTCATGTTTATATATTATTAATATATGTAAACATATACAAATATTAAGGTGCCATATGCCTGGTGTCGGTGACCAACTTACCGTACCTACATGCATAGAGGTGTGATAATATAAGACCTACTTGCATTTCAGGTGTGATCAGACTAACGTCACTGTGACCTACTTACATTCCAGGTGTGATCAGACTTAAGTCACTTCGACCTACTTACATTTCAGGTGTGATCAGACTAACATCACTGTGACCTACTTACATTCCAGGTGTGATCAGACTTAAGTCACTTCGACCTACTTACATTTTAGGTGTGATCAGACTAACGTCACTGTGACCTACTTACATTCCAGGTGTGATCAGACTAAAGTCACTTCGACCTACTTACATTTCAGGTGTGATCAGATTAACATCACTGTGACCTACTTACATTTCAGGGGTGATCAGATTAACATCACTGTGACCTACTTACATTTCAGGTGGGATCAGACTAACGTCACCGTGACCTACTTACATTTCAGGGGTGATCAGATTAACATCACTGTGACCTACTTACATTTCAGGTGTGATCAGGCTAAAGTCACTGTGACCTACTTACATTTCAGGTGTGATCAGATTAACGTCACCGTGACCTACTTACATTTCAGGTGTGATCAGATTAACATCACTGTGACCTACTTACATTTCAGGTGTGATCAGGCTAAAGTCACTGTGACCTACTTACATTTCAGGTGTGATCAGATTAACATCACTGTGACCTACTTACATTTCAGGTGTGATCAGACTAAAGTCACTGTGACCTACTCACATTTCAGGTGTGATCAGACTAACGTCATTGTGACCTACTTACATTTCAGGTGTGATCAGGCTAAAGTCACTGTGACCTACTTACATTTCAGGTGTGATCAGATTAACATCACTGTGACCTACTTACATTTCAGGGGTGATCAGACTAATGTCACTGTGACCTACTTACATTTCAGGTGTGATCAGACCAACGTCACTGTGACCTACTTACATTCCAGGTGTGATCAGACTAAAGTCACTTCGACCTACTTACATTTCAGGTGTGATCAGACTAATGTCACTGTGACCTACCGGTACTTACATTTCAGGTGTGATCAGACTAGCATCAGTGTTGACAATCATAGTCGTAATTTCATGTAAGCCCGTCATAGCAGCCTCCCGAGCCCTGATCCCAAACAAATATTTTGTCATTAAGTTATATCATAATGTACTTTGCATATATCAGTAAAACACTGATGAGATACATAGTAGATCATCTTCCAGATACAGCAGTCACAGCTGTAGGAAAGATCTGTGATATAGATGTTCCACAATGGGTAATGGATTGTTATCATGTTGATCTAACTCAAATTACTTAATTTTCAAATTTTATACAGATTAACCAATGAAATCATGTCCAGGGTGGTATCCACCAGTTGCTAACCAAAATGTTTACCAACTCTCAGTAAGTTTATCCAATGAGCCGGGAGTGAGGAGCCGATAGTGGTTGTGGGAGAAATAGTTTTATAAACTGGACTTCATAAACAACTCTACAGAATGTCTAGATAGACCAGCCCTTCTGTATGTCAATAAAAGTGATCTCTCTCACAATAGATGGCTTAACAGATAATACATCTGCTTCTAATCAATACTTTATACACTTGACAGGATGTCTCATAGAAATAAGTATATTTATATTTATTGTGCTGGGAAAATGAAATATGTGAAATCTAAGGAACTTTTTTTTTTTTTGCTGAAGTGATATTCTCATGGGAAAGCTGTAAAATTAACAAGAAATTGAAAGAGATCAAAGCTGTTTATCGTTTAAAGTTTGAAATATTTTATATTTCATAAGAGCTGTCATTTGAAGTATTAATGTTCATGTCATCAGAGACATCTGATGTATTGGTAAAAGTTTGAAATATTGCACTGCATGGTAAAACTAGAATTATGTCAGTCTGACATTTAAGTCGCTCACCACTTTAAATTGAATTGCTTCAGTAAGACGTTGAGCATCAATATCTTCTATAATACCTCAGATATGTGTTCTGTATTCTGCTAATTGAGAATCAGGTCATGTGATGATGATGCCTTTGGGATTTCCAAAATCAATCACCTCTTAAATGATGCCTTAAAAACATTTCTCCCTCTCCTCTTTTTTCACCCTCTTTCAGTGTGACGCATTGTTGTAATTTTCATTAATTAGCATCCTCCGATGATGTGACATGAGCATTTATGTGCAGAATGCCAATCGGTGAATGGATAATAAAGAATAGGTGCATTTTGTGATTGTGAAATGAAGAATTAACAGAATGGGGGAAAAATACATGGAGAAAAGAGACATTGTACTCCTTTTATTTTTATTTATTATTTATTCATATGAATAATAATTATTAATATATGTAGTGACTTTATTTACTGTCATTGAATATACAAAATCTCAAAAATGTTCTTGGAATATATTTGAATTATATTTCTCAATGCGACTATATATTAATTACTAACGTAAGAGTTATTTCCCTTACACCGGATTGGATAATATTTTGACACAGCGCGAATTCTTGTCAAACAGCAGCGGCAGTTGTGTCATGTTCTTAAATTGTTACACTTTCATAAATAAATACACCAGAAATAGCATGCTGTGTTACAGAAATGTTTGATAAGCATACACAGTTTACATATCGTCTCGTCTCAGAGCCATTAAGCATTACCGTTAACAACCTAAGCACGATATGTCATATTACGTTCCCGTTTGAAACATCAAAATAGAGGTTATACTTCATCACTAATACGGTTTATAAATACATATATTTACTTCTTCCTTCTACAGACAGCGTCGATGCTTGACAGTCTTCACATGTGCTTTCTCGAATCATATGTGTTTCACACGCGTAACACTCCTCAGACCTCAATCCGAGTTGCTAAAACGCTCAAACGTAGTGCACGAATTTCACCACCACAACACTCGTAGAATGCACCGGAGATAAACATTTTGTTTTCAGCAATTATTAAAAGTATAGATTATTACTTGGAGAAGAGTATCAGAAGACTTTATGTAACCCACAGGTGAGTGTCAGAGATTCTACTTTCTATTTACGATAACGAAACTATATAGCGGAAGCATGTAAGACTGAATTATGCGCACGCATCCGTAACGGAAGTGGGTCCGTCATTTCGTTCTCTGGACAGAATTAATAAGCCGCTCGGCTCTCGCCAAGAGCGGCTTAAAAAGACATTAATCATTCCATACACAAGCTTCCATAATTATATATTTAATTGTCAAATGATCCTAACTCACCATGCACCCACATCTCCTCGACTGTCCAGGGTGTAGTCCTGCATGGCCTGGAAACATGTGTCGTATACTTCAGGAATGTTTTGTGAACACAGTACTTGTGTCGGATCTCCTTGTTTATCAACTCCGACTGATTTACAGACCCTGTAATACATGTAGAGAAACTTGTCTAAATAGAACACCATCTGTGCATTTTGTTTCAATTTAAAAGTCATTGTTCTAATTTAAAAGTATTTAAAGAAACCTATCTTACGAGAATCCTACAGATTTGAACAAGGCAGAACAATACTAATCTTTCTAATCAGTTTTGAAGTCAGGGCTTGAAATTTTATACTAACTAAGGTATTGGTATCCAAAATTTTGTCAAATCATTTTCATTTTTGAGAGCATCAATACTGTTATTGGGAAATTATAATGTTTGACATATTTGAAAAGTTGACTGATTTGCTAAAAGAAATAGGCAACTTTAACAATTTTCCAATTCTATAACCAACAGAGATTAATTCCTGTTTCAGGAAATTCAGCCTTGACCTTACCCAGTGATAGCCTTGACTGCGTCACGTCGGGACTCCGCCCATTTTTTCTCCCTCTCCGTCACTCGAGTGGCCCCCATTAGACCGCTCAGAATACCTTTGAGTTTGTTCTTCATGATGAACTTGGGTAATGCACCTATGGCCAAGGAATATCCCTTCCTATAAAATTTAGAAACACAATCTTCATCTTTAAACCAGTATGTGCAATAATGAAACATGGGATAGCTAAATCTATGAAAGTTTGTTGTGTATATTAACTGTGTCCAATTTAACAACAGCAATTCAGTATGTACCTATTGAACATCAGTTTAGGATCTATAGGGGTTTTCTGGACTTAAGGAAACTTTTCAGCCTCGTACCCCTCCTCCCAAGAAAATTTGAAAACCCTTCTAGATTGCTTTCTGTATGTGCCTCTAGACAATTAAGATTTATAGTGGAGAAAATAATGTTTAATACTCAAAGTCCTGACTGACAAGTCAACACTACAAACATACCTTGATACTTCCACTGGACTTTTGAGTTCTTCAAGGTACCTGCTTATTACTTTTTCTGAAAATCAAAATCAAAAATAAAACAAAAACAGAATCAGAAATCCATAAAAAATCATTTGAGTTTATTACATTCTGTTGACTTCCTAACTGTAAAAACTGCATCCCTGGTAATGAAAAGTAATTCAATTCTATAAGTGAATTTATAAACATTTCTACGTGCGATATCAGAAAAAGTAGTCTCCCTTAGCAATAAATTTAATTCCCAACATGTTAAATGGCACATTTTGTGATGAAACACCACTGGTTTTGCCAATGTTAAGAATATATAATGTCATTGTATTGTTCCTGGTGTAATCTCAACAAATAATTTTACACTTTACATATCAAAACTGTATGTGATAAATTTATAACACATACTGTATTTAAAATACGTCCGAGACACGTTTACCTTGTTTGTCTGGGATAGCTCCTCCTTTACTGTCTGAATAATACTCCTGAAAGAACGCTGGAATGGCTGCCACGGCCGCTTCCTGGAACAGATAGTGTCAAGCATGGAATATTGTAGGTCCTTTTATTTTTGTTTTGTTAATGAAAACCTTACAGCTCTTCCCCTATTTCATTTTTATTTGACAACCAGACATCTACAATGTTATAGGACTTGTGCCTACCAGCACAATAGGTTTTCAAATCTTTATGCAAAGTACATAATGATAAAGTACATATGTACCTCACACTGACTGGGGAAGCTGAAATACAATGTAAATTCAGTGTATTTTTCACATTTTCCTTGACCTTTTTTCCAGTTACTGTGGGAATCCATACATCTTGTTTAATATGGATATATCACCCAGGTAGATCTGAAATACTGTGTGGTTTTTTTTCAGAGGGTGGGGGGAGGGGGCTTTAAAATATTGAACAACCATACAAATAGATTCAGCCAATGGTATTCCAACTGATTATATTGTAGCTCCCACATTCCAGTATTCACCTTCCCATTCTTGATGCTTTAAAAGTCTATCATTGACATTTGCTTAGAGATAAAAAGAAAATCAATAAATCCTATTGACATTCATCATTCGATTTAATCATAAGTAAACCAATATCATTTTCAAACTTTTCACCCATCAAAAATTTTGTTAATGCTATATTTGGTGATTGACAGCTAGTACTCACATACAAATCATAAGCACTCCAGAACATTTTTGATGATTATTTACATGTCCTGGGCACTTATTGGGTTAAATATGGTATGCAGAACAGATGGAGGAAAGACAGTTCACCTATATATATACAGCACAGTAAGGTATGAAGAAATGATTCTTACCTGGATTTCTGGTTCAACGTAGTGTAAACATTCATCTATGATCCCCTGCCATAATTCTGCATAAAGAAAGGTAAAAAGTTTGATTATTGTAATCCGGGCATATAATAAAAATAATAATTTGAGGTTCTCATATACCGCTTTATCACAACCTAGTTTGTAGGTCTCGTAGCAGTTCACAAATTATTATCCGTGGTTATAGGGCCTTTGCAACCAGCCAATATCTTTCTCAACTCCCTTGTGAGCACACAGCCGGTGCTGCCATTTCATCCCTCACAACTAGCATTCAACAATTTTAGCACTGCCCAATCACATATTCATTTACAGCTGAGTAGGCTGGAACAAGTGGAGTAAAGTATCTTGCTCAAGGATACAACTGTGCTGCGACGTGACTCGTCCTACCACCAGACTACCGTGCCTCCTGTATATCTTTTTTTTAATTCTGTGCCAATGATGTTTTGGAATGGTGCTTGAACTTTGTAGTTAACACTAGCAAGAAAATAATGGTTGTTTTGTTTGCTTCATGAAGTTGATAGGACTACTCAAGGCCCACTCTAAGGTACCATCAGATCTCACTGAGATGTCATAACTGTAACATGGTCACATTATTCTGACAACAGGCTGAAACCAGGTGTCTAGGGAGACACCAGCAAAATAACAAGCATGCAGGACAGAAAAAATTGAACTCCCAAGTGTTGTCATGAAATGGGGGCATCTACAATAGGTTTCTACAAACTTCCCTATGTAGAAAACACAAAAAAAAACCCAACCTATTCTTGTGGGGCGGGGACAATATACTCCTGCTGTGGGATACAACAGGTTTATTCTATCACCAAATCTGCACACATACCAATGATGGGATCTCCATGATAGGGCAGCTTTGACAGGGACAACTTCTCGATCAGACAGGTCACTGCAACAGTAATGGTACAAAAGTGATACAAACTAAATAAGTAAGTTAAACCACCATTGATTCTTAGAAATAATGGATCAATATGTATTGAGCATGAAATGTTAATACTACAGAGGTAAGCAGCTGAGATAAACATTTGATTAATTTGACAATTAAATAGTACAATTTGAAATTAACATTAGGACTATAAACTCTTCATGAATGTAAAAATAACATTAGATATCTTATTTCTTACAAAATCTGACCTAAAAATGTTCATACAGCTGACAATTTGGACTCTCCAACAACCCCCCAGTCATCTCCGACAGATTTAGCCCTCTTACAAAAACCTGGGCATACATCTGAGATTGTAGGTCCGTTTGTTCTTGACAAGCCAGTGATGACAGAAAAATGTCAAGGGTTTCAAAGAAGACCACAGCAGAGATTGAAATTATGAGCTGGGTAAGGTTTAAAACTTACAAAAAAAATAGTATTTGTGTTGAAAAAGAAATATTACAAATTTGCCCAAATAACAACAAGGTTTCACTGTTTTGTGTATCTTACCTGCTTTCCTCATGAGCTCTCCTCCCATGCCTCGGAAAAGTTCGACATCATGCAGCTGAAAACAAAAAAATCATAAACTACAATATCAAGTTCATCAACTTTGCTACAAAACTATTTTTTCATTTTTTATTTTTTTAATAAATACATATATTGTTATATTATCCAGTTTGAAATCACAATTTATGGGTTTCAAAGTTTAAAAAAAAACATAAATTGTAATTTCAAAGTCAAAACCCCCATACCTAACTAAGTAACTATGAAGTTAGTCCGTCATACTTAAATAAATAAATATACAACAATTGATAAAGTGCCCTTTCTAGCTAGAATAAGCCACTCTAAAGCGCTTTACAGTACATAGATATACAATTTATACAATCAACACAATTAGCGTATACATTAATCAATACCAATTTGAGGAATTTGCAGGAGCTGCCCTATCAGGCGCTAACTACTAATTCTATGCCACCTGGCTAATATCTCCTATATGTGTGTATGCCTGTGTGTGCTGGAGATGTATTGTGTTCTGTTTGTAGAGAGACCGTGCTTCCAATGGTATCAGTTATAGTACCACCTCACTTGAATGCTACAGCACGGAAACCGCAAAATCCACTCCAGACCATTTTATACTCCATCTGGGTTGTTGGAGTTGAATACATCAATATAAGACTCACACTTTTATATAATAGACAGTTTAAGTCCCCAATAACTATGTTATTTCGATAGAAAATTGTAGTCCCCAATGCCTACATATGTCACTTGACAAAGAATCATGAACATGGATCTCAGTATATTTTGCTACCTGGATCTCAGTACATTTTGCTACCCTGGATCTCAGTACATTTTGCTACCTGGATCTCAGTACATTTTGCTACCTACAATGAAGATAAGTTTAACAGTGACAATGGACACCGACCTTTTTGGCGATTCTTCGTAGCCCCTCAATGACGTCTGCATCAATAACATCTGTTATAGCTCTGAAAAATATAGCCTCAAGTTTAGATTTAATAGTGGAAACAACAAAAACAAAGAATGTAAAATTATTCGTACAGATTGTTAACAGAAATTTTCAAAAATATAACTGTTACGTTCAGACAATGGAGCAGTTTTATAACTAATAATTGGATTGGGGGATCTGATATAATTGTTACCAGGTAAGATATGTAGTAAGGAAAGGGGGATAACTGTGGATTGTTCAGGGTTTCATGTTGTCAAAACAGTTATACGGTCCTATGAAGACAGGAGTTGTAAAATAGTTATTAGGTATACTATATATGAGTGATGAGATAATCTCTGTTTAAATACAGTGTTGATCATATAAGCCAAATGATATTGTGTTTGTATCAGTACCTATTCTGTTCAGCGACCAGTTTCCCTAGAGCATGTGTGATCTCTGCTACAGCCAGTATGGTCCCATGGCGGAGGAAAAGATCCGGCCCAGTGGTCAGGGGCATTAACAGTGGTAGCACTACAAACACAACACAGAGAGGTCTGGTAACATGGACACTATGTAAATGTTCATGTCGATAATATTGAAAAGTTTTTGTAACACTGTCAGTGTACTAAAATAGAAATAAAATAGTTGGCAGGCTAGTCCTGAGATGGGTGGACACGGCCTCCTTTATCTGAATACCAGATTGTACACATTTGACTTATTGGTATGAAGTAGACAGGAGATTTACATTTATCTGAATAAAATTATCTGATGACCATTTTATAGAGGTCATATGCATATTATTCTCATATACAGAATAGCCACGATAATTCAGTCATCTTTTTTTCCAACTTCAAGTGGATGGATTGTAAAATGGCAGGATAACTGAGAGAATTTTGTATAAAAGCGTTAATCACATACGCTGTATATCCATAATAAATTTTGAAAAGACTTACAAAAAGCAAAAACAAAACAAAATCAAAACAAGCCATTCAAATTGATATGTCTCGCCTGTGCACCGCTTTGACCATCAATGAGCATGTCAAAAATTAAACAGTTCTATTAACACTCCTAAATGTGACAGCCTTAATGCATTGAAGAGGTTAAGATGAAAATCTGACCAGTTTTTGCCATGTACTCTGGAGATTTTGGTGTGAGTCTGTGGAGGGCCTTAGCTGTCAATTCTCGCACGGCACTGTAATAGAAATCAACACCTGATAAACAAAGCAGTAATCCACTATTAAAAGTATAGTTACTTTGCAAACAACTTCAAATACATAGTTATATACAGTCACATGTTAGTGAAATTTATAATTGCTGTTTATAACACTAGACCCCGTGGACACTTCTGACTGCATAATTTTTCAATATTTCAACTAAATCCTCAATGTGTATAACAAGCACAGTATAATAATTGACTCACCTGTCCCAGTGGGATATCTTGATGTGAACAAGGTGATCAATCAATCCCTGAATATACTGTGGATACTGGGCCACAAACACACTGCAACACAGTTATATAGTAAAGTACATTATCATATTTACTGCAGTGGGTGCCCCTCAACCATTAGTCAGTGCTGTATCAGTATGAAAGTGCTATGTCATGGCCTGGATATATTTTCAAAATTTACTCACACAAACAGAACTTGTAAATTTACGTAAATGGTGACAATATACAAAACTGTATGTGGTTTATTTTAACATTCAGCTGTAAAAATCTAAAAGTGAACTTCCGATTCAAAGTCCATGTGACGAAGGTTTGGCAGAAACTCTATTTGTGAGATGAAAGTCAAAATCATGTGATATAAAAAAAAAAAAAATCATTACATAGGTCATTTAAAAAGAAGAAACAGGGATACATAATAACAAGATAATATTGCAGAAGACTAACAAAAAAGCACTGTTAAATCAAGTTGAAATTGGTGTGCATGAAATTATCATATAAACCATTTCATTTATATGTTTTGTTTTTATGCAAAAAATTTCATGAATAAGTTGTCCTGCATTTATCTTACCTCAGATCCAGATAACAGTGAGACCTATTTCCGACAGCAAAATAATCAACGGTCGTAAGGATGTCGATTCCATGAGGAAATGTACCCTAAAAGCCACCAGGTCAATTAGGTGAAATATTGAGAAATTGCATGTTTTAAACATTTTGTGCTATAATGGGTTAAGACAACAAACTTGAAAACTCCTTTTCTGGATGTCAAGATAAATTAACTATTTAAATCTTAAATTTGTGCTATTTACTAAATGTGGACCAATAATAATTTTTAGATAAAATAATTTGTTCTTGTATTACACTCAGAGTGTGTTGGTAGAAATATACTGTGACAGAAGTAATTTTGGGTAATGCATGCACAGGGAAAAAACATCCGGAGTTTAATTTACTTTTAATTCCCTTAAAAACATTAATGATTTTGTGATCATTCAATAAAAAGAATGAGAGAATGCCCCATGTTTTCTAGTCTTTTTCTTTTTTGTATATTTTCTGGCAAGTTTCTTGATACAATCATGAAATTCAAAGATCTGAAGATGAGCCAATACATATTTAATGTAAAGATAATTTTCACAGAAAAGAATGAGTTGTTTTGTTCTGCCAAGTATACAAAAGTAAATTTTATTTATAAAGTGTCCATGCTAAAGAGGTCACACTGCGACACCTTGAATAAATGTATTATTTGCTCAATAATAAATACAAAAATAATATCAATAGTGAATTCACTTAAATAAGATTGTAGTTATATGTTGCACATAACATAAGGCACTACCAGATGTTAAATCAACAAAATAAATGAAATATTGAACAGACGACGTTACCTGGCGTCCCACGTTTTCCTGAAAAGCAGCAGCCGCAGCACGCCTGACATTTACCTCCCGGTCATATATAGAGGCTTTTATCAGTGCACTGAAATCAGACACAAAAGGCATACTGTATTTAACTTTATAGATACACTTAACTCTCATCAGGTGTACTAAAGAATAGTTAGTAGGCAATAAGAACAAGAGAAAACAGCTAGATCATTTTTTTTATATGTGCAAGCTAGGTCACCAATTAATTTGTTTTTTGAAATAACACAAAATATTCATCAGAGGCACAATCATTGACATTAATGTTGAAGTTGTTAACTTTCTGGATAATGCCACAAAATATTAATTATTTTGGATGTTCCACATTTAAGTACTATATCACAAAATGAAGGAGACATATTTTTTATCATAATGTGAAGCCTTTCCCAGTTAAATATATATATCCCACCATGTTTGTCAAACAGGAAACATCCATGACAATAATTAATTCAAACAACTCCATATAAAAGAGTTCGTTTTTTCTATCTTCCCCGTGCAAATAATATTTTATTTTGTAGGCCCCCCTGGTGGAAAGATATTTTCTGCAACAGACTCTAATTATCAGTGTAATTTTTTTTACACATGTCTTTGTAACTGTGCAATCTGAATATCTGTCTATTTTGACAACTAAGACTTACGTTGCTATGTCATTAACATGTGGTGTGATCTCCTGAGGTTCGTAAGCCCTGGCGAAGGCCCAGCACACATAGCACGCAGCATCCCTCACGTGAGCTCCCACCGAGAAGTTTCCTCGCTTGTCGTCATATTCCAAAGACTTTAACACGACGGGAACCACTGAACAGACACATGTTTGATAATAAAGCCTTTGTCTGCAGTGTGACAGGGATCTTCAACCCTTTCACCCCTATGTAACTTTAGTAAACTCTACCATACATTGATCTGGATGAGTCCATGATGGTCCATAGTGGTGAAAGGGTTAACGCAGTAACGGCTGAGGTCCCCACCCCATAACCATATACACCTGTATTAATGTGCCACTGTCACTAGCACTTTATTCCGAAAAGTGGCCAACTATAAGTGCCTATGTGGGAGATACTACAAAACCACTTTCAATTAGACAAAAGAGAAGATAGAGGTCTAATGTGTAAGAGCAGATTTATACAAAAAATGACGATTATAATATTAGAAATGAAACTGTACATTCACAATCCGCTTGACTGAAAAGAGACTATATGTCACATAGCAGATGGCAATAGTGATTCAGCGATAATTTTGATTTTAAATTTGTCAGAGTTATATTCACTGTAGGATCATATAAGGAAGATAAGTAAACAAGAGGCCCATGGGCCTTAACGGTCACCTGATATATTTATACAGAGAGTTGATTTTGTTTTTAACATGAACAGAAATATTATTCAAAGTGACAAAAAACAATAAAACCACCTTACTCAATATCTAGCATACAGATTTCAGACTAAAAAGGATTTGAAACTAGCACCTCTGATTCTTAACAAGGAAAATGAAGAAATTTTAGCACACTGACTCCTTTGAGCCCCACCCTACAGCCCTTGGGGGTAGGGCTGGCTCAAAATTTTCAAAGTATCAAACTGTCAATTCAAGGTTATAATTCCAATCAAGTTATTAACATGTA